CGTTGTTTTCTGGTGGTCAGAATTCCTACCAGATGCACGCAAGATGCGCGTAGAAGATTTCTGAGTACCAGAAAAAAGCTGGATCCTACGGGACCTGGGGGTCATAGAATCGAATTGAATCCACCTTGCATCCGGTAAATGTAGGTGCCGTACCGTAAGCCAGGCTTCTGGCCCGCTTCCGAAGAAAAGTTCCTCCACTACATGTTGTACAGTACCGGTACGGCACACTAGAAGCCAGCAAAGCTGTAATTTTACTGTGTGGGTGAGCTATGTGATAGTGAGGTTGGAGATGCGGGCTCGAAAAAGATATTCAATCGTGCTAGCTTCCCACGACCAAAATCTCCCTCATCTTTTCGCTTTTAAAAAAAAAATGCGAAACGGCCCACAACTTGCAACACTTGACTTCTCAAACAACTGACAAATACGAATGATCAATCAATCCTGATATCACCTCGATTAACTAATGCTGACAATGCCTGCTCGTCTTGTGGTTCTGTATGGTATCGGTGGCTTGTCCGACGTTGGAAGGCATGCCATTTTGGCGGCCTTGGAGCAGCCAACCGTTGAGCACATCACCGTCATCACGGAATACCCCGAGTTGCTCGACGAGGAAAACTGGGAATGCAACTGTCAAGGAGGTCACACCAACCCGTCCAAAGATCATGCGTCCAAGATTAATGTGGTCAAGATCGACAGTTGGCAGAATCAACAAGACAATCTATCGCAACATTTCCAGGGTTGTACTGGGGTGGTCTCTTGCCTGGGCCATCGGCAACCTGGAGTGAAATACCCTCAGCTAATTGAAAGGGGCTTGGTAGCTGCTGCGGGCAGCCAACAAGTCATTCAAGCCATGAAGGAGGCCGAAGTAAAACGCGTCGTTGCCATGTCCTCCATGGGCATGGGAGAGAACATCCATTGGGCCGGTAAGCTCATGAAGATATTCTTTTGGACAAACACCCGCAAAGCCTACAAGGATCTGCAAGAAATGGAAAAACTCTACCATGCTTCAGATCTGGACTACTTGTTGATCCGCCCCACCGGCTTGGGCGAAGAAGTCGTCCCTGTGGGTGAGTACTTTACACAGGATAAAAAGGGCGTGGATGTGGTTGGGTTGGAACTGGCCAAGATGGACTGTGCCCGCTACATGGTCGAAGAAGCACTGCATCCAACGAGGAGTCACACTGGCATAGTCGTCGGAAGTCGTCCAGCTTCAAAGGCAAACGAAAAGTAAACAGCCCTTCTCGTAGTGTTTGCACTACATGTAGCCGTAATACATTAGCCCAATGATTGATTGCAATCTAGTTTCTTTAGCTGTTTCTTTACACGCTCTCTATATGAATGGAGCTATGAATTGGTGCAACCGTGCTTCGGCCAAGCATACTCCCTACTGTGCACGTCAATACACAAGCTGAACCGCTATGACGCCATCTGAGCTATGCCTTTGGGCCCCGCATTGTTGCCAGTGTTGTTGGCACTACCAAATAAATTTGGGGGGCACTAATGACTTTGCACGTTGCTGAAGCTGCATCAAAGATTAGTAGGACAGACGGTTTAGTTTGCGGCAGTGCTATCACTGCTGGTATCAACCCGGAGGCCCATGCCCTGGTGGTCTACTGTCTCCTTGTGGTGGTTGCATCTGTCCTCCTTGGACAGCCATGAAAGCTCCAGATAGCGTTCCTGCTGCGGAAGGCAAAGGAGGTCCCTGTCCCTGTGCATGGAACTGTGGAACCTGGATATGAAACTGTTGCTGTTGTTGCTGCAAGTATTGTGCCATGGCTTGCCGATCAAGGGGCTGCAGTTGCGCTGGCATTGGCTGTCCCGGTGGAGGAGCTACCGGGGGTTGCATTGGCATGGATGGTTGCCCAGGGTATGCCGGCATTAGTTGCATTTGTCCAGGAGGCATTGGCTGCATTTGTCCAGGAGGCGGTGGTTGCATTTGGGCAGGCTGCACTGGTTGCTGCATAAAGTTCTGGAGAAGATGTTGTTGTGCAAAGAACTGAGCTGGGTTCATTGGTTGGCCTGCAGCAGGTGGAGCTGGAGCAGGCTGTTGAGCAAAGCTCTGGAGGTGCTGCTGTTGGCCTGTGGAAGCAGGAGGAGTAGGCTGTTGTTGCATTAGTAACAGATGTTGCTGGACGGGTGCTTGTTGTTGCTGTGTAACTTGCTGTTGCTGTGTAAGTTGTTGTTGTTGTTGTTGTTGTTGTGTTACTTGTTGACCACCGCCAACAGCCTGAAGGATATGCTGCGCCATGGCTAGATTCGGAGCCGGCGCTCCAGGTTGAGGACCCATCTGCATCATTGGAGCCATGGCTGCTGTTATGGCTGATCCAAAAGCCGCCGCCAACGTGTTTGTTAGGTTGGGGGCGGATGCGAGAGCCGCAAAGGCGTTTCCGTTCGGTTGCAGAGCAGGGTTCTGCGTCTGAGGCGCCATGAACATTGGAAGCAGTTGCTGCATGGCATTGACGAGGGCTTGCTGCTGTTGTTGGGCCTGTTGCGCTTGTTGGGCCTGTTGCGCTTGCTGAGCTTGTTGGGCCTGTTGCATCATTTGAGCGATCTGCGGACCAGCGCCTGTGAACAGCTGCATAAACGCCTGCATTTGATCTGGTGGGGCAAACTGCATTTGCGGAGGCTGTTGCGTTGCAACTTGCTGCTGGACTTGCTGCGGCGGTTGAAGAGTCTGCGGCGGTTGAAGAGTCTGCTGCAGGGCAAGCATCTGCTGCAGTTGTTCGAACGTGTTTGCGGGAGCTGCCGGCACTGGGGTAGCTGGGTTGAGAGCCTGAGGAACCGGAGGAGGAGGTGCGGAAGGAATTCTGGTTGCAGGCGCTGGCATGGCGGCGCTCATCATTGGACTAGGCATAGACACCATGGCTGTTCCCAGCTGTTGTTGCTGTTGTTGGTGGAGCTGCTGCTGCTGCTGCTGCTGGAAAGCTCTCTGGTGCTCCTTTTGCTGCTTTTCTTGGATGATTCCCCGAACCCTTTCAATTTTCCCCCGTATCTCTGCGTTCTCCTTCTTGAGTCTGTCGTTCTCATCGGTGAGGTTATGGTACTGTTCATTGAGGCAATCTATCACAATGATCTTCTTGGCCCGTTTCCGTCTCCCATTCAGGCGTTCTCTTAGTCGCTTCTCCTCAAGCTGTGGATCAAGGGCTTCCTGCTTGGCCGCTTCTTTCTTCTTCCCGGCAGATGCTCCCACCGGCTCACTGCCCTTTCTCTTTCTCTGTCCCCTGCTAAAGTTCGAAACTAAGCCTAGTTCCGCAGATGCCGATGCTCGTTTCTGCAAGCTTGCTTCCAGCTCTTCCTCTCTCCGCTTTATTTCTTCCTTGCCTATTCTTCTGCTCTTTGCTGAACCAGACCCTTTGGCTGGTCCAACTGCTCTGGGCTTCTTATCCTCTTCCTCCTCACTATCCATCTTTAAGCTTGCTCGTCTAGGTCGCTTTCTCTGGGTCCCACTACTTGTTGGTTCCGAGGATGGCTCTGTCTTGTCTTCTTCTTGTGGCGGTCGTTCGGCGGCATGCTGAGGCAAAGTCGTTGCTTCTTGTTTTTCCTCTTCGCTGTTGGACGACGGTACCTGGTCTTCGTGGCTCGAGGATGTTATGGTTGACTGTTCGACCAAAGCTAATCGTTCTTCCTCACTGATGGCAGAGTATTGATCCACAATGCCGCGCAGGTAGCTCTTTAAGCGCTCGTGGTCTTCGTCGTCTACTGCAGCAGCCTCGTCTTGGGTATTATCATCTACCTCCGCTGCAGGGGGATCCTGGGACTCCGCTGCAGGTGGTGGGATCTGATCATTCTCCACCCCGTCGGTGCTCTGCTTGTCCGATGGGCTGTCAGCCATATCTCTCACTTTAGGCGGAAGGAGCTGGCACGGATGTATGGGTCTATCATTCAAGCTGGTAGTGATAGATTACGTATAAAACGTAGACTGGTCGAAGTGTTGTTGGAAAAGCAGATTGAGGGCAGTTTGAGAGTTGGCTGGTTGTTGCGGTTTGTCGCATTGCGGACACGATGGATAGTCAGAGTCGAACAGTCTTGTCATCACATGTGGAAGGCCTGGCACTCTACGCTGTGACAGTGACTCGTCACTCATTTAAGAGCGGCTTTCTGATGCGAACTGATGGGCCCTGATGGCGTCAGTAAGGCTTCCAAGTCCACAAATTCAGCACTCATACGTCATCCAAGAATGTCTGACCATCTGGGGGGCTGTACTTCGAAGGTACGTCACTTTATGTGGAATCGGAAGCAGATGGCAAAGCAGTTGTGCGTTGTTGCGAACTTTAGGGCGAGCCAACTCATCAGCACAGATGGCAAAGCATAGCTGCCTGTTTTGAAACGTCTCGTGGACAGCCGGGCTGCTGTGGTCGGCTCAGAGGACATCCATGCGCGGTTCCAGCGCCGTAGGGGAACTCTTGGCCACCACCTCACCTCCAAGCCTTTCAGCAGAGCTCTACAGCTGCTGAAATCGTATGAGCGTATGAAGGCTTGATTGCTACCCATGGTGTCATTTTACTCCTGTCAGTCTTTATAAAAGCCAAGCAATTACTTTCCAGCTGGCTGATACGATTTCAGCAAAGAGGGACTGATTTCTTTCTAGCTAGCTCGGAGGAAACATTGCTTCAAGGCGAAGATGTCGTCAAGGCAAGGTTGAAGGCAACAACGGTGATGGTACAAAGCAACAATTAATTGCTTGAGGATCTAACCGAATTTCAGGCAATACTTGATTGCAGTTTGCAGATGATCAGTTCTGAGGCTTGAGTTGAACCAATCACTCCAAAAGAAAAGTGCAAGCAGAGGAATGGTGATGTACCCGTACGTAACAAAAATGAATTCGTATCATATCCCAACAGGGATTGCTTGAGGTGGGTTTAGCTGGTGGGAGTTGTATTTTGGTTTGGCCCACCAGGAGGCCATACTGTATGCTACACGTGAATACAAGGAAGTCTCCTTGGGCTAGACTGTTATTTTGGCTTGGAAATTGGCTCTCCATTCTACTATCATACGTCCCGGTCGCTTTTGAAGATTCCATGTCTCTGTCCGACAGCATGAGGTTACATGTTACTAGTACAGTACATGCACTAGCTAGTAGTGCTTCAAAATGAATTGGTCTCAATCTTGGAAGGACCCGCGAGGGGTACCGTACAGTACGATGGGTGGTCGGCTAGAGGGAAAGAGGTCTGGATCTGTTGTCAATAACCAAGCCTGGAATTTATAACTTCACATAGTTACAAATATTAAACTACTCATCTTAGTGGGGGGATATCTCTTGCAGCCCTCTCCAGCAGAAGCTAGCTAGAAGTGGTACCAATGAGCGATCTGTTGGGTAGTTATCATAATGAGGAGAGGAACATGCAGAACCCTATTTGCTCCAGCCAACCTCAATCTGACGTCAAAGACTATCATTCATGAGGAGGGCATGGAAGGGTCTGATGTCCTCAGCCTGCTAGATGTATCCCTTCAAAATCAACTAAATCAGGAGATAGGGCATGAGTGGCAACTCATGCCCAAATCCTTTGGCATTCCGGCTGGGAGGGTGGGAGAAAGAAAACTTCTGCAGAGGACATGGGATGTGCATTCAGGCTGATCAGTGCCAGACGGCTCAACCCATGTCTATGCAGACTCAATCAAGCAGCAGGCAAGATGGATCTTGACAAACAAATATTGTGAGGCTTGTTTTGGATAGAGTCAAAGCGAGTAACCAAGTCATCTCAATAACTCTAGTCCAAATTATGCCTTGAATCCTTCTCTGCTTTCTGGAACTAGCTAGCCTTAACCCTGCTTAGCTAGGGCGCGCTTGGTACTATAAACCTTTCATTTCATTCCAAGATGCAATACTATGCATACCGACGAGTGGAATAGATCAACGAGATGATGGAAAAACACAAAAACAAATGCTACAGCTCGATGCCCCTTGTTGTTCTGCATGGGGCTGTAACATTTGTTTGGTCATTTTACCATATTCCCATTGAGAACAAGAACTCCCCAAGTGACAACACGATGAAAATGGACCTTTTGGCAAAATGTGAGCCCAAAATGTGAGGCTTAGTTTTAAACTAGATGATCGGTTTCTTGGATATGCCATTTTGTCATCTTGTCTGGATATCCCATAAGCTGTAAATAACACATATGCATTAACACCATTACAAACACTAAGTAGGGGGTTTCTGAGTCCCAAGCGCCCGTGACAGGGTCACGTCAGGCTCTGTGATCCAGGACCCTCATATCCTGATGGTAGCAGACCGACCTCCTTTTGCAAGGAGGAGCTCTGCCTGGTTCAACACCTGGGCAGAGCAAGGATGCTTCCAACATTCAAATCATGTCTTTTATAATAGATTCACAGTGGTGATTGGCAGAACTGCCTATCACCCCAGTCCCCCCCAAGATGACTTTATGGGGGGGTTAGGCAGCAGCGCGGGGGAGGGAAAAGAAAAAAGAAAGGGAGAGGGTTAATGGTTGGGATTCCGAATTCCCATCCAGTGAGCCTGCAGGGCCTGACGTTGATGAAAAGAAGTCATAACACACGATCCAACGAATAATATACTTATGAGAATGAGGGGAGTAGGCAATGACCGACCATCTCCCCCATAGGTAAGACGTCCGAAGAACATTAATATGTCAGCAAATACGTCACCAGAGAGGTTCGTTGATCAAATTCAAATCATCCCAAACGGAAGCCGGCCTGACTCGATTTTTTTCTGTTCCCAATCCTTCGCTCCAAGCAAACCTTCCCATTATTTTCGAAACTCGCTGATTTTTGTGGATGGTGAGTGTTGTCGGTGCTGTTGTCGGTGCTGTTGTTGTTGTTGTTGTTGTTGTTGTTGTTGTTGTTGTTGTTGTTGTTGTTGTTGTTGTTGTTTGGCGACAATGGCATGCTACTAATTCTATCCCCCGTCCACCGATCGAACGTCGTCCTTCTAGGTACAGACGCTCCTTCCTCTACTACGACCGACGTAAAGCAACAACAACACCGTGGACGTCAGCCACCGAGCAACCGTAACAACAACATCGAAGCATCGAAGAACTGGTTGACCATGAGGATCGCTACAAGTCCTTCCTTCTCGAATTGGCTACTTAGTGTAAACAGCTACCCATTGAATGAGCTGAGGGCAACACGGCATGGAATCACCTGCAAGTATGTGATTTTTGAAGGACAGTATGCAGATGCGAGATTCGCCAACAACCAATTTCATTGTGCTCGCCCGATGGAATTTGCATGGCACATTGTTGAGAAGATGATCTTGCAAGGAGGATGCAAGCCTCTTCCTCCTGATATGACAGGCATCATGGACTACATGTATGAATTGGGACTTCAGAAGAGCCCCAAATGGTACAGTACTGTTCTCTCCACGCTTTATGAAATGTTGGAGGAGACACAGCCCTGTGAAAGGAAGGACATCTTCATTGAGTGCATCTATGGGTTAGTGAGGGAAATGATTATGGATAGCAGCTATGACTTTGACTCCAATGAAGGACAGATATTGATGGATGCTTGGCATGGGTATTGTTGCCACTGGTATGACTACAACAACAAATTTTCCTTTCAGGTTTTGGTTTCCATGAGTCAGAGTTTTGTTGATGATTGCATTGAAGACCTCGACAACCTTGGATTCTTGCAACCACACAATGCTGTACATTGTGGAAATTTTATGTAAGTTGATGTCTAAACTAGAAATCAAATTGGTGGATCTAAATATTTACTCTTTGTTGCTACCCATACCCACTCAATTTAGATTGACAAGTAGGATCATGAGGTGGTCTTCCTCTCCTACGAGTCAACCATTGGCAATATTTCTGACAGCAGCCATTTGGTGGAGGTGGCTGGAAAGGAGATGGCATTACTGGTTGGAATTGCTGCTGCATTAAGGCAAGTTGCATCATTTGGATCTGGTGTTGTTGCTGATAGAGAATCAGGTTACCAATGTAATTGTTTGTTGTTTGTGCCACAGCTGCTTGGGTTGGTGGTGCACGAGGTGGGGGCGGCGGTGGAACCATTGCTGGTGGAGTCGCCGGTGGAAGCATTGCTGTTTGACGCTCATGTGATGGCTCGATTGCTGGTGGATTTGCGAATATGGTCTGCATGGTGGAGCGGTAGTACTTTGGTCTGTTAAGTAGAGAAAAAAAAGCCGAAAAAGACGGTGACCATCTACCGTAAAGCAAGATTCCGCTTCCTTCGCTCACTCAAGGACTCCGTCAACTTCTACTTATATCGTCTCAGCAAATGGAAAGACATTAAGGCGTGTCTTTATAAGGACAAATTCGCCAATAGAAATTGAATCAGGCAGCAAGAGCAAGAGGTCACGCGTCGAATGTTGCAATCTGGAGACAAACACTTCCCAATTGGGACAGATAACCCATCGATTAAAATACATCTTGCAAAGTCTCTTATTCGGCTTTTTGTGGCACACCTATTGATGAGGAGAAGTACAAATCCAAGCCAGAACATAAGACACAAAACATATCATTTTTCCAACCCTTTTAACGGAGCAAGACAAAAATACCGATTCAAAGGACCAATGTAACGCCAAGATAGAAAGCAAGTGAATGGCCTACCAGGTTAATGCTATAAGAGCAGAAAAAGATGTATCACAGTCGTGTGGGCAAGTGGAACGCAGGCCTCCGACAACATAGGTTTGCAAACAACAATTCCTCAGTCCCTGTTTTGTCATTATGCACGCAGCAACCAGGTACGGCCACGGCGGGGCAGCGGTGTGTGCACCGATCGTCTTTAGGACAGCAGACTCTGACTTAGGCCGAATGTGGCCAAGGTGGCAACAGAGCATTGCCAGTAGCCGCTCTGGCCAAGTTGCTTGTGGGTAGGGACCAACTTTTAGATGGCAGCCC